CCCAAAACCCCAAAACCCCAAAACCCCAAAACCCCAAAACCCCTATCTAATAGCCTTAAATTGAAAATTAAAATAAGGGTATTAGGAGAAGCCTCAAATTATTGTCCAATTGGTACAAAGACCAGAGTTTAAAACTGTTATTGTTAAGAATGAACAAAAAGTTCAAGTGCCAATTACAAGACTGAGGTAGACAAGCTGAATGGTTCAATAAAAGTCTCAGGATAGCTATCTGCAAGAAACACTTAGCATTAAGCGAGGAAAGCCATTCAGTAAAGATTGGAAATTTAGAGGGAGCTGAAGAAACATTGAGGCTTGTTAAAGCTTGTATTAATGAATTCTATGAAGCTAGTCGTTCTATCACTATCGAAGAGTGCGAAGAAGAATCAAACAATTTTTGTGAACAACTGGAAGACAAAGTAGAAGAGATTTCTAATGAGTTGAATTACGTTAGAAAGAATAAAAAATTTGAAGACTTTGGAGCTATCGAAACAAGAATAAAAGCCCTGACTCTCGAACTCAAAAAAAATCAATTATTCAATAAGTTCTGCACTCAACTTTATTTCTGCATGAAATGAGAGCAGTTAGGGGTTAACAAGGAGAAGACATCCCGTTTTATTGAGAACCCTCTTAATGAAGATTTATTTGTCGACCAACTGAAACAGAAAGACACAGAGTTAAAGAACTTGAAAGGTGAGTTAAAAACCATTAAAGAAAAAGTAGCATCAATTGTTGGGTTATCCTCCCAGGCTGATATAGAAAAGGTATATTGCATAATCACTGGCAAGAAAATTGCTCCCAAAATTTCTGAACAGTTAGTCCTTGACTGAAATGACCAAAAGAACTGAGATTTCATGGAGATATTAGGAGACAATATTCTTCCAAACTGTGACATGCTAAGAATTAACAATATTCAAGAGCACATCTCCTTAGTTGAAAATTTTATATTCAGGTGTTTCCCCCAAACTGTGAGATGCCTTGCTCTAAATTTCCGAGGAAAACCGATAAATTGGGAGAAACTGGTTGAAATGGTAACATATTTGAGTCCACATATCACAAATGAGCTCTATTTGTATAACTTAAAATTTGGTCCATTTCAGTTGAGTAATATTTTACAAAACACATGTCAGCACATAAAAGAGCTTGGGTTTGGCTCATGCATTTTAGAAATTGACACAGTACCAAGCCTCCAATATTGCCTGTACGGGTCTAGAATTGAGACATTACTGCTCGATAATTTTGACAGTTCAGAATGAAAAGATTGAAGTGTCTCTAGCCTAAGATTCTCAAACCTTATGGAAGGACTATCCCAGTCCAAAGATTTTGTCAATAGCTTCAAGAAGCTGGTCCTCATAGAATTTTGAATGGACAGAGAGGATGTCATTGAGATCCTTGAAAAAATTGGATTTAGCTCTGTTTATCTAGTAATTATGTAATTCTTCAGTTATTTTTGCTTGAATATTTTTATAAGCTAGTCTTGGCCTAAGCTGGTTTAAGTGAATTCTTGGGAAAATCTGGTCTTAAGGCGATTTTGGAGATTTAAGTGGGTAATAGAGCTGAGAAATATTTTTTGTGATATTTTTGTGATTTACTATCTGAGCGATCTCATGAATAATACTTAAGAAGATAAAAACTATTTCAAAAGCAACAGCACAAACTTGAGTTCATGGCACAGGCCAACAGAGATCACTTGGGATGGGATTCGGGCAATGAGCTGATAGATTTTAATAATTTGGACATATGACAAATAATTAGAATTAGTGGTATTTAAGTTTAAAACGGTTAGAAATTTTAAATCATGGAAGTAAACAAATGTGAAATTGGAACTTGTGATAATAATTCAGAATACCTTCACAGAGGACTTAAGATTAGGATATGTAAACAGCATTTCCAACCCAGTGAAAAAGATAAGTGAGTGAGACTTGGGCAGCTTATTGAAATTGAAGATGCACTCAGAGTTGTTAAAACATGTATCAACAACTTTTGAACTGGTGTAGAATTAGGAGACAACATAGCAAGCATCAAGAAATGAAAGCATTTTGTAGAACAAGTCAATCATAAAGTGGCTCAAGTATCAAAAGAAATAGAATCTGCCAAAAGTAGTGACGATTTACAAAGTCACGATTGACTTGAAAATGAATTCAAAGATATTACTTCCGAACTGTACCACTGAGAATTCTTCACACATTTTTGTGTCAAGAACTACATGACTTTGATGTGTGACTATCTGAAGATCGATAACAACAAAATCTCCAGACTCATAAGCACTGATGATGAGATCAGAAATTTCAAAGGGAAGTTAGAAGAGAAGGAGCAAGAGTTAAAAAAATTGGAAGACAAGTACAGGCAGATTTGAGAGCGTTTCATCAATCATATTGGATTAGACACTAAAGCAAGCCTTGCTAAAGCTTATAAGATTATCACAAATTTAGAATTGTTTCTAGAAAATGATGAAAAACTTATTCTTGATTGAAATACTGAAGAAGATACTGAGTTTATGAAAGCTGTAGGAGACAATATCCTTCCAAATTGTTCTGAATTAACAATTGATAGCATTACAAGTGATGTAAAATTAGGTACAAATTTCATATGTTCATCTTTTCCTCAAACAGTGCAAAGATTCCATTTAAATCTAAATGGAAAAATGCTGGACTGTAAAGAAGCTATTGATATGATCCATCATGCTAGCCCTCATGTATCAATAGAATTTTGTATTTATGGAATGAGAATTAGCCAGTTTCAAATGAAAAATATCCTGCAATCAATATGCAGAAACCAAAGAATATTCGGGTTTGGATATTGCAAATTTGAATTGGATTCGGTACCAAGTTTCCAATATTGTCTCAACGGCTCAATTATTGAATCCTTGGATATATGTCATTGTGGCCGTCCTGAATACAATGACTGGAAGAAGCACCCAGAAAGATTTACAAATCTGATTGAAGGATTAAGCCAGAGCAAAGATTTCATGAAAAACTTAAAGAGGACTCAATTGCTAAACTGAGGATTGGAAAAACAGCATGTAAGGTACGTACTCGACAAATTCGATTTCAAACACGTTGAAATCACAGAACATTCTATCTAATTTATATATGAACTTTCAATACTTTATTCTTAACCCAGTAACTCCTTTAACCCACCAATTGTTCATTCCTTCCGATGGTCACTTAAAATCGGGAAGGATTTTATTTGTCCAATCATTAACCAGGCTGTCTCAGGCTGAAGAAGGCCTGGTTTAGCTATCAAGAGCCTGAAAACATAGTCAATGGATTGAGGCATGACTATTAGCACTAAGAAGATTTAGAATTTAGGTGGCAATATGGGCTGTTTAGAGAGTATAGATTATGCGAAACATTGTATGGGATAAGTTTGATAAGAAATTACTTAGGGATTTGTTTGAGATTCAAAGTAATTCAGCAGTTCCAATTTCAATACCATAAAATCACAATGGGGTTTTGGGGTTTTGGGGTTTTGGGGTTTTGGGG